TCAGGTGGGGAGGAGGTTCAGGGAGGGTTGGTATGGGCCAACAACAGTTGACCTGTGTGTGTGTGTGTGTGTGTGTGTGTGTGTGTGTGTGTGTGTGTGGTGTCAGCTTTTTATCTGCGAGAGTTTGCAGGACAGATAAGTTAAGGAGGAAGGCTTAAATAAGGCAGGGAGGAGATAACGTCAACACTGCAACCACACCTGATAAATGTACTAAGGTGAGACACAAGGAAGGGGTTGTGAGTGGATAGTAGAGACACAAGGGAGGGGTGAGAGAGACACAAGGGGTGTAGTGGATAGTAGAGACACAAGGGAGGTTGTGAGTGGATAGTAGAGACACAAGGGAGGGGTGGTGAGTGGATAGTAGAGACCAAGGGAAAGGGGAGGGAGGAGAGACACAAGGGGGGGCTGGAGTGGATAGTAGAGACACAAGGGCGGGTTAAGAGTGGATAGTAGAGACACAAGGAAGGGGTTGTGTGGATAGTAGAGACACAAGGGGGGGTTGTGGTGGATGAGTAGAGACACAAGGGAAGGGGTTGTGGAGTGGATAGTAGAGACACAAGGGGAGGGTGGTGAGTGGATAGTAGAGACCAAGGAAGGGAGAGTGGATAGTAGAGACACAAGGAGGGGTTTGAGGGATAGTAGAGACACAAGGGAGGGTGTGGTGGATAGTAAGAGACACAAGGGAGGGGTTGGGTGGATAGTAGAGACACAAGGGGGGTGAGGGATAGTAGAACACAAGGGCGGGCTGGAGTGGATAGTAGAGACACAAGGGAGGGGTTGTGAGTGGATGAGAGACACAGGGAGGGTTGGAGTGGATAGTGGAGACACAAGGAGGGGGCTGTGAGGTGGATAGTAGAGACACAAGGGAGGGGTGGAGTGGATAGTAGAGACACAAGGAGGGGTTGTGAGTGGATAGTAGGAAGCACAAGGGAGGGTGTAGTGGATAGTAGAGACACAAGGAGGGTTGTTAGTGGATAGTAGAGACACAAGGGAGGGTTGTGGTGGATAGTAGAGACACAAGGAGGTGGAGGGATAGTAGAGACACAGGAGGGCTGTTAGTGGATAGTAGAGACCAAGGGAGGGTTGTGAGGGATAGTAGAGACACAAGGAAGGGGTTGTGGTGGATAGTAGAGACACAAGGAAGGGTTGTGAGTGGATAGTAGAGACACAAGGGAGGGGTTGTGGTGGATGTAGAGACACAAGGAAGGGGTGTGAGTGGATAGTAGAGACACAAGGGCAGGGTGTGGAGTGGATAGTAGAGACACAAGGGGGCGGGTTGTGAGTGGATAGTAGAGACACAAGGGAGGGGTTAATGAGTGGATAGTAGAGACCAGAGGAGGGTTGTTAGTGGATAGTAGAGACACAAGGGAGGGTGTGAGTGGATAGTAGAGACACAAGGAGGTTGTGAGTGGATAGTAGAGACACAAGGGAGGGGTTGTGAGTGGATAGTAGAGACACAAGGGAGGGTTGTGGTGGATAGTAGAGACACAAGGGGGCGAGGTTATGGTGGATAGCAGAGACACAAGGGAGGGGTTGTGGTGGATAGCAGAGACACAAGGAGGGGGTTGTGGTGGATAGTAGAGACACAAGGGAGGGTTGTGAGTGGATAGTAGAGACACAAGGGAGGGTTGTGAGTGGATAGTAGAGACACAAGGGAGGGGTGTGTGAGTGGATAGTAGAGACACAGGGGAGGGTTGTGAGTGGATAGTAGAGACACAAGGCGGGTTGGAGTGGATAGTAGAGACACAAGGAGGGGTTGTGAGTGGATAGTAGAGACCAGGGGCCGGGTTGTGAGTGGATAGTAGAGACACAAGGGCCGGTTGTGGTGGATAGTAGACACACAAGGGGCGGGGTGTGGTGGATAGTGAGACACAAGGCGGGTTGTGGTGGATAGCAGAGACACAAGGGAGGGGGGTTGTGGAGTGGATAGTGACACACAAGGGCGGGGTTGTAGAGTGGATAGTAGAGACACAAAGGCGGGGTTGTGAGTGGATAGTAGAGACACAGGGAGGTTATGAGTGGATAGTAGAGACACAAGGGCGGGTTGTGAGTGGATAGTAGAGACACAAGGGCGGGTTGTGGAGTGGATAGTAGACACACAAGGGCGGGTTGTGAGTGGATAGCAGAGACACAAGGGGAGGTTGTGAGTGGATAGTAGACACACAAGGGCAGGGGTTGTGAGTGGATAGTAGAGACACAAGGGCGGGTTGTGAGTGGATAGTAGACACACAAGGCAGGTTAGTGGTGGATAGTAGAGACACAAAGGGCGGGGTTAGTGGATAGTAGACACACAAGGGGCAGGGCTGTGGAGTGGATAGTAGAGACACAAGGAGCGGGTTGTGAGTGGATAGCAGAGACACAAGGAGGGGTTGTGAGTGGATAGTAGAGACACAAGGGCGGGTTGTAGTGGATAGTAGAACAAGGGGGGAGTGGATAGCAGAGACACAAGGGAGGGTTGTGAGTGGATAGTAGACACACAAGGGCGGGGTTGTGAGTGGATAGTAGAGACACAAGGGAGGTGGTGGATAGTAGAGACACAGGGAGGGTTGTGAGTGGATAGTAGACACACAAGGGCGGGTTGTGAGTGGATAGTAGACACACAAGGGCATGTTAGGTTAGGTTATGTTCGGCTAGGTTAGGTTAGGTTAGGTTAGGTAAGTTAAAGCTGTAGGCTAGATTAGGTTAAGCTGTTCGGTTAAGTTAGGTTAAAAAAAATTGGGTTAGATAATGTGAGGTTATTTTAGATTGATTTATGTTGGATTAGGTTTGATTAGGCTAGGTTAGGTTAGGTTAGGTTAGGTTAGGTTAGGTTAGGTTAGGTCAGGTTGGGTTAGGTCAGGTTAGGTTAGAAAGGTTAATCAACAGGTGAAATAAGCCAGGGTACGTAATCTTCAGGTGATCAGCAAACGCCACCTGAATCTTTAAGACGACTAAACCTGAGGACATTGAGTTGCACCTTGACCTTGCTGTAATGATCATGAGAGACAATCGCTTCACCTTCACACCTCTATATCTAGCCACCTACAAAAGTGTGTGTGTGTGTGTGTGTGTGTGTGTGTGTGTGTGTGGGCTGCCTAAAACGGTGAAGGCAGCAATCCTCCAGAAGAGGTTTTAACACTAATGATCTGGAGGATCCAATGATAGCACATGCCTTCAGAGAACAGGTCGTACAGGGGCTGATAAACAACCCGACAAAGAACAACCCAAATCCCAGTGCCGAATGGGATATTCTCAACACTATCATGGCAAAAACCTACAGAGACCCTCGGCCAGATCGAGAGAATACACCAGGACTGGTTTGATGAAAATGACCCGGTAATCAATATACTCATCGATGATAAACGTGCTGCTTTAAGTGACTGGCAGAACAACCCTCAGTCTCGAACCAAACTTTATACCTTCTGCAAGAAAAGGATGGCCCACAGAACTTCGCAATCTAAAGAACGACTGGTTTAAAAATAAAACATGAACACAAAAATTTGCAGATCAGCACAAGATGCACGAATTTTTCAACTCCACCAAATACTTCATGGGCCATTCAAGGGTGTGTACTGGATCCAGCTCTCTTTTCCATTTCCTTGGCTGCCTTCCTTACTCATGCTAGTACCAATTTAGCCGGCGGGGTGGACATCGAGTACCGAGTGAAGGGAGGTCTTTTCAACATAAGACGACTCCAGGCAAGAACAAAGTTGTCGGCCGCTTCCATTACTGAACTTCAGTATGGAGACGACTTCACCTTCGTTGCTCACACTGAACGCGACCCACAGGAGATCCTGAACACCAACGCAGATGCGTATGCACACTTCGGCCTTGAGCGGAATGTACGTAAGACTCATATTCTCTTACATCCTGCCCCTGGTTCAAGACACATCTCCACCATCCATCCATCTCAACGGTACTACCCTCTCTAATGTTGCCCACTTTCGATATTTCGGCTCCCACCTGTCCACCACCGCGGACATCGATGAAGAGATTCAGCATCGGATCAGATGTGCATCTCAAGCCTTTGGCAGAATCCGAAACCGTGTCTTCAGCTGTAGGGAGCTGAAATTATCTACAAAGTTACACGTATACCGACCAGTGGTCCTCCCACCCTGCTATATGGCAGCGAGACATGGGTCACACAAAGGAGGCACCTCAAGGCACTTGAAAACTTTCACCAACATAGTGTACGTTCCATCCTCCGAGTTCTCTGGGAAGATAAGAAAACAAATGCCAGTATTCTTGCTGACACCAACTGTAGGAGCATCGAGGCTACCATTTTCCATGAACAACTACGTTGGACTGACCATGTTGCCCGCATAGACTAAAGTAGACTGCCAAAGCAGCTACTTTACAGTCACCTAACGAATAGTAAATGTAACGCTGGCGGGCAACTGAAAAGGTATAAGGATAGTCTTAAGACAAACCTGAAAAGGTGCAAAGTCAGGCCCCTCACCTGGGAGTCGATTACTCCACATAGTAACGCGGAGAGCACCACACGAGGAGGTATCAATACTTTCGAGTTAGCAGATGCAAACCGAGGCACACAAGAGCCAACGTTGGAAAGACGTTACCACCCCTCCACAGTAGATGGAGCCCTCCACATTTGCAACGAATGTGAACGATGCTGCGGGTCCCGTATCAGCCGTTTTTGTCACCTCAAAACTCACTCTACCTAGGTGACATCCCTAATAACTCATATCATTGTATCATATTTGGATGATTGTCATACTCGATTTCGAGTGACAAAGTAGTAGTGTGTGTGTGTGTATGTGTGTGTATGTGTGTGTGTGTGTGTGTGTGTGTGTGTGTGTGTGTGTGTGTGTGTGTGTGTGTGTGTGTGTGTGTGTGTGTGTGTGTGTGTGACAAACAGCCACAACCAGACAAAAGCAAAAAGAGGTAGATATGTAAATGGAAAGATAAATAAATAATTAAAATTAATAAATATACAGAAAGATAGAGGAAGATAGATATATACGTTGACATCTGAGAGAGAAGAGAGAGAGAGACATACTCACCTGGCACTATCATGTCACCGTTAGCGTTGGTCCAATAGTTGATACTCTTGGGTAAAGCTCGTGTGGCACTCAATGGTCAGGTCCTGGCCCACGTAGGCACCCTCCAGCTGCTGTGGCACCCAGGTCATCGGCGGGACTGCCCAAGAAGAAAAGAGGGAAGGGGTGACAATGAAAAGGGGAATAACTAAGAGGAGAAATGTTAGGTGGACATGACACGAGAGATAGTGAAACGGATATGAACGAGATTATATAAGGAGAAAGAACGAGAGACGAAAGGATATGGGCGAGACATTATAAAGGAAAGGGCGAAGGGATATTAGAGGGGTAAAGGGAGGGTCAGGGGTGACCTAAAGGAGAACAGGGGTGAGAGTATGGTCTAAGGAAAGGAGAGTTTGGGGATTGTGTTGAAGTGCAGGGATTGTGGGGAGGAACTTAATGAAAGAATGGGGCATACAGATGGAGGTGAGGAGAGGTTGGGAGGAGTGGGAGGTGGGGAGAGTGAGAGGGTGGGGAGGAGTGAGAGGGTGGGGAGGGAGAGTGGGGAGGTGGGGAGGGAGAGTGAGAGGGTGGGGGGAGGGGAGGAGAGTGGGAGGTGGGGAGGGAGGTGAGAGGGGTGGGGAGGAGGTGAGAGGTTAGGGAGGGAGAGTGAGAGGGGGGAGGAGGGAGAGTGGGAGGGTGGGGAGGGAGAGTGGAGGGAGTGGGGGAGGGAGGTGAGGAGGGTGGGGAGGGGGTGAGGAGGTGGGGAGGAGAGTGAGGGAGGTGGGGAGGAGGTGAGGAGGGGTTGGGGAGGAGGGTGAGGAGATGGGGGAGGAGGTGGGAGGGTGGGGAGGAGGTGACAGGTGGGGGAGGAGGTGAGAGGGTGGGGAGGAGAGTGAGGAGGTGGGGAGGAGGTGACAGGGTGGGGGAGGGAGGTGACAGAGGGTGGGGAGGAGAGTGACAGAGGTGGGGAGGGAGAGTGACAGGTGGGGGAGGGGGAGAGTGGGGAGGGGGTGGGGGTGAGGGTAGGGGAGGAGGTGGGGGGTGGGGAGGAGGTGAGAGAGTGGGGGAGGAGGTGAGGAGAGAGGGTGGGGAGGGAGAGTGAGAGGGTGGGGGAGGAGGTGAGGAGAGGGTGGGGAGGAGGAGAGTGAGAGGGTGGGGAGGGAGGTGAGGAGGGTGGGGAGGAGAGTGAGGAGGTGGGAGGAGAGGTGGGAGGGTGAGGGAGGGAGGTGAGAGGGTGGGGAGAGTGGGGAGGGTGGGAGGAGGTGGGGAGGTGGGGAGGAGAGTGAGAGGGGTGGGAGGGGGAGGGTGAGGGTGGGGAGGGAGAGTGAGGGGTGGGGGAGGAGGTGAGAGGGTGGGGAGGGAGGTGAGAGATTGGGGAGGAGGTGGGAGGGTGGGAGGAGGTGAGAGGGTGGGGGAGGAGTGAGAGGGTGGGGGAGGAGAGTGAGAGGTGGGAGGAGAGTGAGAGGTTGGGAGGAGAGTGAGGAGGTGGGAGGAGAGTGAAGGGTGGGGAGGAGAGTAAGAGGGTGGGGAGGGAGAGTGAGGAGGGTGGGGAGGGAGGAGATGACAGGGTGGGGGAGGAGAGTGAGAGGTGGGGAGGAGGTGAGAAGGTGGGGAGGAGAGTGACAGGGGTGGGAGAGGTAAGAGGTGGAAGGAGAGTGAGAGGTGGGGAGGAGAGTGACAGGGTGGGGAGGAGAGTAAGAGGGTGGAGGATAGCCACTGAACAGCAGTGGATAATAAATGTACATAGGGGCTGTTGACCCTGATGCTCTCTCTCTCTCTCTCTCTCTCTCTCTCTCTCTCTCTCCTCTCTCTCTCTCTCTCTCTCTCACACACACACACACACCTCTCTCTCTCTCTCACACACACTCTCTCTCTCTCTCTCACACACACATACTCTCTCTCTCTCCCACACACACACATACTCTCTCTCTCTCTCTCTCTCTGTCCGTCCGTCCGTCTCTAACTGTAGTGCTTCTCTACAGTACATCATCTCTGTCACACACATAAACTAATCCCTGTATCGGTATATCTGAACCGCTCACACTGGACACTAAGGTGGGCCCTCTTGCTGATGGATGGCGGGATGCCGTTGGAAGGCCATGGTGAAACCCATCTGGAGACGCGATACCTTCTTCAGTAGTAGCGTCTCCCAGAGTACCTCCCTCGCTGACCCACCACCCATGCCTCGTCCATCCTCCTCCTCCTCCTCCTCCTCCTCCTCCTCTTCGTCTGCCATGGGTTTCTGAAGGGCCACTGCCGCTCCCTCCTGGTGAGATAATTTACGAGAATACAAGTTTAGTCACACAAATTATATTAAAAAAAAATAAATAAAATAAGTCTTCTGTAAATTAGATTTTTTGGTGAAACATTTGTGTAATAAATTAAAATAAAAAATGTGTTTATTCATAGTAGAAGCTTCAGTAATACCACTAACATTAATAATATGCATAATAACAATAATAATACCGGTAACATGCGTTTACTGATGTATATAAATATTCAGGAGAGGATCAGCATGAAAGAGATCTTTAGTAAATGTCAAACAAACAACACAAACAAACAACACAACAACAACAACAACAAAACAACCAACAACACAACAACACAACACAGCAATACACAACACAACAACAACAACAACAACAACAGCAACAACACAACAGCAACAACAACAACAACAACAGCAAGCAACAACAACAACAACAACAACAACAACAACAACAGCAGCAACAGCAGCAACAACAGCAGCAGCAGCAAACAGCAGCAACAGCAAGCAGCAACGGCAACAGCAAGCAGCAGCAAACGACAGCCAGCAGCAGCAACAACAACGACAACGGCAGCAGCAGACAGCAGCAAGCACAGAACAGGCAGCAGGCAGAACAGGCAGCCAGCTGACAGCAGGCAGCAGCAAGTGACGCAGGCACAGCAGACCAGAAACTGACAGACAGCAGACAGCAGGCAGCAGCTGACAGCACAACTGACAAGCAGCAGCACGACAGCAGCAGGCACAGAACGACAGCTGACAGCAGACTGACAGACAGTAATAATAATAATAATAATAATAATAATAATAATAATAATAATAATAATAACCTTCACAGATAAATTAGGTGTATCGACTATCTTAGATCAACATCACTTCTACACAATATAAGCCCAATAGTCTAGTGAGAGCTTCAAAGTTTGGTCGATACTGTGAGTTATAACATTTGTGTGTTCGTGTAGTTTGTGTAAATAAGGCAGCTCTTGCGTGTGTTTGTGTGTAAATAAGGTAGCTGTGGTGTGTGTGTGTGTGTGTGTGTGTGTGTAAAGAAGATAGCTGTAGTGTGTGTGTGTAAAGAAGGTAGCTGTTGCGTGTGTTTGTGTGTAAATAAAGGGCTCTTGCGTGTGTTTGCTTGTAAAAAAGATAGCTGTTGCGTGTGTTTGTGTGTAAAGAATATAGCTGTAGTGTTTGTTTGTGTGTAAAGAAGATAGCTGTAGTGTGTGTTTGTGTGTAAAGAAGGTAGCTGTTGCGTGTGTTTGTGTGTAAATAAGGCAGCTCTTGCGTGTGTTTGCTTGTAAAAAAGATAGCTATTGCGTGTGTTTGTGTGTAAATACTATAAGAACATAAGAACATAAGGAGTCTGCACAGGGCCGGTTGGCCTGTGCATGGCAGCTCCTGTCGAGAGTTACTACCACTCTCTATCATCCACATGAATCTATCTAGCCTCCTTTGAAACTTTCCAGAGTTCCCGCACTTACTACAAAGTTGCTAAGCTTGTTCCACCTGTCCACCCTCCTATTTCCAGAACCAGTTTCTTCCCATCTCCTCCTAAACTCTAAACCTATCCAACTTGAATCCGTTGCTCCGAGTCCCATCCTGCTCGATATTATAAGAACGTTATCTATATCCCCTTTATTGATTCCTTTCACCCACTTAAATACTTCTATCATATCTCCCCTCGCACTCTTCGTCTTTCTAGGGTATGTGTTAAGTTTCTTTAACCTATCCTGATATGGAAGGTTTCTAAGTCCCGAACTATTTTTTGTCATTCTTCGCTGCACCGACTCTAGTGAATTTATATCCATTCTATAATAGGGCACCAGAACTGAACCGCATAATTTAGTAAAAAGTGGCCTAACTAGCGCAAGATATAGTTGCAATAAGACCTCTGCACTCTTGTTACTTACACTTCTAGATATAAAAACCCAATACTCTTGCTTGCCTTATTTCAAACATTAAAGCACTGTTTTCTAGGCCGTAGGTCCGGGCTTATAAGTAAATTTCTAGGTCTCTTTCACAAGTCGACTTCTAGGTTGATGTTGTTAAGGCTGTATGCCATATTATAAGTATTTGTTCTTCCAATATTAAGTACGCTGCACTTGCTGATGTTGAATTTCATTTGCCATTTTTCAGACCACCCCTGCAGTTTATTTAGATCCTCCTGTAATGCATTTGTATCCTGCCCTGAATTAATTTGCCGCCCTATTTTGGTGTCATCCGCAAACTTGCTTATGTCACTGCTGATCCCAGTATCTAAATCGTTTATATAGATTATGAACAAGAGTGGGCCTAGTACTGACCCCTGGGGAACCCCACTGGTTACACGGCCCCACTCAGATTTAACATCATCTACGCTGACCCTCTGCATTCTATCGGTGAGCCATGATTTTATCCAATTTAAAACTTTCCCCTCGATACCATGAGCCTTAATTTTTCTCAGAAGCCTCTGATGCGGTATTCTGTCAAATGCTTTGCTAAAGTCTAAGTAAATAACATCGTAATTTTCGTCATTATCTACTACCTCGAAGACTTTCCTAAAAAACGTTAGCAGATTTGTTAGACAAGATTTTCCCTTTGTAAACCCATGTTGAGACTCGTAGATTAATTTGCTTTTCTCTAGATGCGATCGGATGCTATCTGCTATAATTGATTCAAGAAATTTCCCCACTACTGACGTCAAACTGATCGGCCGGTAATTTGACGCTGATGCTCTGTCTCCCTTTTTAAATATGGGTACTACATTCGCCTGTTTCCTCAACTCTGGCACAACTCCAGTGTCTAATGATTTTGTAAATAAGTTTACGAGGGGTCCGCTAATCTGTTCCCTACACTCTTTTAAGACTCGAGGAAAAATTTCATCCGGCCCTGGGGATTTTGTGTTCTTTAGTTTATTTATCTTCTTAAGAACATCCTCTTTTCTGATAGTGATTTTCTTTAATTTCTCTTCTTCCTTTCCCTTAAATATCAGTTCCACCTCCGGAATTTCATCGCAAATTTCTTCTGTGAAAACTGATAAGTAGCAGCTGTTCAATGCTTTGCTCATGTCTTCACTGCCATTTATAAATTCTCCCCTCCCTGACTTTAAAGGCCCAACTTTGTCCTTGACCTTTGTCCTATATACCTGGAAAAATCCCTTGGGATTCGCCTTGGATTCTCTTGCTATTTTGATTTCATAGTCTCTTTGCTTTCCTTACATTTTCCTTAACATTCCTAGATAGTTCATTATACCTGTTTCTGAGCTGCTCCTCCCCTCCCTTTAATTTCTTATATATTCCTTTCTTTATTCCTATGTCATGTTTAAGTTTTCTGGTCATCCACCTTGGCTCATTCATACTTGACCTAATTTTTCTGTGTGGTATATTTTGTTCTTGTGCTTTATGTAGTATACTGGTGAATACATTATAGTCATGATCAATTGTTGTGTCATCTATGACCTCACCACTTCCTACTGGGGACTGACGTGACTGTTCCCAGGTGACCTCACCTAGGTACCTTCTTAACCCCTGATAATCCGCCAACCGAAAGTTTGGGACTCTGACCATATTGTCATTGTTTTTCGTTTCCCAATTTCGGGTGAACCTGATTTCTCTGTGATCACTGTTACCTAGTTCTTCCCCTACTGTGATATCTCTGATAATATTTTCTTTATTTGTTAATACTAGGTCTAATATATTGTCACCTCTAGTAGGTTCTGTAATTAGTTGTTTCAAAAAATTGTCCTGTACTGCATCTAGGAAGTCTTCAGATTCATAGTCGCCTACAATGTTGTCCCAGTCAATATTTCTGAAGTTGAAATCCCCCATAATGCATAGGTTGTTATATAGCTGTAGTGTGTGTTTGTGTGTAAAGAAGATAGCTGTTGCGTGTGTTTGGGCTAAAGGATTAATTTCATAGGTTCATGTAGGTGTTTATGTTGGTATGGCACTGATCTTTAAACCCGACACACACACACACACACACATAACTCGTGGTAGCTTTGACACTGGTATGACACTCAATTCCTTTAATTCCATCAAACTTATCATCCAAAATAACCTGCTGCATTATCACTCATGCTGCTCAGACACACAATGAAACAAGGAAACCAACTTCAACGTCACCGTAATCTGTCCAACAACATCAATAATTAAAGACATCGGATATTAATAGAAAAATACTCAAAATCTGTCATATATAACACGGAATTATTATCAACGCCACTCCATTTATGAATTAGTACTAAGAGTAAGGTTAAATTTGTATAACTTTAACTGACAGGTGATAAGTATTAATTCAAGTCCCTTTTTTATTATTAAAACATTAAAGTTACAATATATACATTACAGGTTAAATCCTTTCATTGATTCATTTAACCTAACCTAACCGAACCTAACCTAACTCTTTCACACCAGAAGCATACAATACTAATCAAGCTTCCTTCATTACACGTGATCAATTTAATTCATAGGTAAATAAAAGTATTGATTATTGTAAGTTATTTTGATATGCAGCTACTCTACTGTCACCTGTCCTTCATAATCAACTACCTGTCACCTGTCCTTCATAATCAACTACCTGTCACCTGTCCTTCATAATCAACTACCTGTCACCTGTCCTTCATAATCAACTACCTGTCACCCGTCCTTCATAATCAACTACCTGTCACCTGTCCTTCATAATCAACTACCGGTCACCTGTCCTTCATAATCAACTACCTGTCACCCGTCCTTCATAATCAACTACCTGTCACCTGTCCTTCATAATCAACTACCTGTCACCTATCCCTGATCAACTACCTGTCACCCGTCCTTCATAACCAGCTACCTGTCACCTGCTCCTGATCAACTACCTGTCCTCTGATCAACTACATGTCACCTGTCCCTTAATCAACTCCCTCTTTAAGCACTCGTCATAATACTTCCTTGACCTTAAATAGCTGTTAAATATTTTCCAGCTTGAAAACTTAAGGATAGAGGTTAGGTTAGGTTAGGTTAGGTTAGGTTAGGTTAGGTTAGGTTAGCATT